GGGGGTGACGGACACAGGTTCGGAAGCCGTACCTTCGCTCCTTTATTTTGTAAACAGTGTTTTCCTGGCACGGTCCCTGCTCCTGCATCCTTCTGCTGTAACTGGGAGCACCAGGGCAGGATGGGGCCCCCACAGCCCCCAGGGACCCACCAGGAGGGAAGCCCAGCTCCCGCAGGCCCCCCCACCAGCGAGACCCCCCTGGCGCCTGGGCAAGGGCAGGGTTGCAGCAATGCCCCCACGGAGCACCCCGGGGTGCTCCCAGCGCACCCCACAGCGTTAGGGGACACGGAGGAGGGGGACACCGGAGCATCCCTGGGGACGTCTCTGCCAGCCAGGTCCCACCGCAGAGCGCCTGCTGTTGCAGCAGGGAGAGGGGGGACGGGCAGCGGTCCCCCCGGGGCAGGCAGGACACGTCACTGGTGCTTCTTGCCCACGTGCAGGCTGGCAGGAGTGGCGGGCAAGAAGAAGGCAGGGCAGCGCAGGCAGCGGTAGGCCAGGAGCTGGGGCCCCAGCGCGTAGAGGACGTTGGTGATGAAGAAGCTCCACCAGACATCTTCAGGGGTCTGGTAGGGGAAGGGCGTACGGGGGTGCAGCGAGGAGCCCAGGTGGGAGAACTGAGCCTGGGGACACAGAGCAGGAGGTGGGACGGGGTGGGGGGGTCGGCAGCAATGGGGTGGCCCGGTGCAGCCCACCCGGCACCAAAGGGTGTTTTGCAGGAGCGCGCCCACAGCGCGCATCCTATCTATAGACCTTCGGGCTCGCTCCAGCCTATTTCTGTCAAACTAATCCCCGGCTCCATTAAGATCCACCGAGGCCAAAGTAATTATTGGGCGGCAGCGGTGGGAACTGCTCCACATGCAGCCGCGGGTGCGGATCTGTCCCCCCAGGCTCAGCCCTGGACCCCCGCTTGCTCTCTCCTGGCTGGGACCAAAACCCAGCCGGGGGGTCCCACTGTTTTCCCCCCTCCCCCCTCCACCCCTGGAGCCTGGGGAAGGAGGACGGGGCAGCCCTCACCTGTGCGACGGCACCGGCAAACACCAGGCTCCAGTCGGGCAGCCAGGAGCAGCCGGGCAGCACCAGCCCGTAGATGCAGAGGCAGAAGAAGGGGAGGACGTAGAACATGTAGATCAGCATCTGGAGGGGAGGACATGGAGAGGGTCACCCCATCCCCAGGGGCACGGGGAGAGGGGGGTCCAGCTCTGCCTCAACCCCACTGACCTGCACTTTGGGGTAGGCGACGGGGTCGCGCAGGTACGGCTCGCGCTGGTAGATATACTCGAAGCACGAATCGGCGGGACAGTCCAAAACCACCTGGGGATGCAGAAAGTGGAGGGGAGGTGGGTGTGGGGCAGATGCACCCTCCTTGGGACCCCCGTGGCCCCTCTGGGACCCCTGTGCAGGGACCCAGCACTCACCATCCCCCTGAAGAAGGTGAACGCGGCAGTGAGGAGCAGGACCAGGACCAGCCCCATGTCCTGGGGCCGCTGGTACAGGTGCTTGCGTTGCTCCTCTGCAACCTGGGAGAAGGAAAATGCCGTATTTTCAGCTCCGCACCCTGTGGTCTGGCCCCGGGAGGGGGATAAGGCTGACGGCTCCCGGTGCAGCTCCCTGCAGAGCCCCTGCCCCAGCTCCGGCTCCCAGCTCACCTTCTCAGGGCTGAGGCACGGCAGGGCCTTGGGCTGCTGGAAGAGCCTCGTCCCAGCCCAGATGGGGATGAGGATGTAGGGCAGGTTGAGGAGGAAGGCAGGGCTGAGGTCGGAGCTATATTTCCCTGGGGAAGGAGAGTACAGGATAGGCACTGCAGAGTGCTCAGTGCCCAGTATCGATACCTGCTGCTCGCCCACAGGTCAGCACCTTCCTCCTCTGCCCGTGGGACAAGTGCCTGGAAGCAAACCTGCCGGACGGTCGGGGGGATGGAGGCAGCCTGGAGGGATCAGCAAGGGCTGGATGTGGAGTCGAGCCCCCCTCTGCACCCCCGTACCTATCAGGTTCCCAAGCAGGAAGACGACGATGCTCATCATCAGAGAGCCCAGCCAGAAGAGACCCAGGTTCCTGTAGCTCTTTCTGCAGAGACATCGGGATCAGACAGCTCTGCCAGGCTCAGAGCTCCCCTCCTCACAAAATTCAGGACCCTCCCATGCCCACGAGCCCCTCCAAGCTCTCCTCTCCGCCGCCATCCCCGCTCACCTCTGGCCGATGGCCGCGATCATGGCGAGGTAGAGCCCGTAATGGAGGATGCCATCCCAGTAACAGATCATGATGCCATGCGCCGTGCGCAGGTAGGGCTCACCCTGCCCGTTTGGAAGAGAGCGGATCATACGGGGTTGGGGCAGGCGCTTTTCCACACCCCCTCCCCAGGGGATCCCGCGGGAGCCAGGGCTGCTCCGTATGTGGTCCCTCTGCAGCAGGAGCAGCTCTGGGAGCAGGAGCAGCATCCGTGCTTGACCTGAGTACACAGGGCTGCTCGTTGCACGGCCGGGGTGTACGAGCCCGAGGTGGGGTGAGGCGGTACCTCTCTGATGTAGGCCTCCATGAAGCCAGAAATGTAGCCATCCTCCTCCAGCGAGATGATCAAGTCGACGACGGAGGTGAAGGAGAACACCACAAACACTGCGGGAGAGCGAGCCAACTCTGAGCGAGTTCCACGGCTCTCCCCAAATCCCAGATCTCTGCTCCCTGCCCCGGCACGGGATCAGTCCCCACACCCTGGGGGAGACTCACCGCAGAAAAGGGGGTCCTGGAAGTGGCTCCCTCCGCTTACGAAGAAGATGATGGAGAAGAGGCTGGCGAGCACCAGCACCCCTGTCAGCATCAGCACCAGTGGGCTGCTGCAGAACAGCAAGATGGGTTCAAGCACCCAGGCAGAGCCAGGGGGGTGAAGCCCCATCTCCCCCGGTCCAGGCAAAAACACCCTTTGCCCCCACCGATTTTGAGAGGTCTCCACTGAAGCAGGGAGAACGGCAGGATCATCCCCTGCTCCCCAGCACAGACGGGGTCCCACTGCGGCATGGGGTGCTGCCCATCCTCTGCGGGGGGCAACCGGCTCCTCCAGGGTCTGAAATAACCCCGGGGAGGCGAAGCCCTGAGGAAGGCTGGGTCTGACACCCAGGCATGGATGGGGAAGGGGCTGCCCGGCCAAGGCTCCTGTGTCAGGGCAGGGGAGAAGCCCCAGCATGGTTCTCCCTCTCCCTCTGCAGGCTGTGGCCATGGGCCACTGTTACAAGAGACCGGGAAACTGATTATAAAGCAAATCGGTAATGAGGAGACAGATACTGAAAGCACGTCCTAAGAGAGTGAAGAAGTTGTAGGGAAATCTATCCTGAGCTTGCTGCATCCCCTGCAAGAAGCACTTGCATCAGCTGGAAGAGTTGCAGCTCTGGTCTAGCCAACACTTCAGCTACAAAACATGGAAAACATTACGGTATTTTTCACTCCAGCCTTTAACCCTGTTACCAAAGAAAAAGAAAAGGTAAGGTCGTGGCTGTCTGTCTGCACAGGCACCGGAGTTAATAGCTTATCCTGCAGAAACACCCAATTACCAGCCCGCGCGCTCCTCGGCGCAGCACGGCGGACGTGCCGACCAGGGACGAAAGGCCAGCCGTCCCCCTGCCCCAGGGTCACCCGGCTGAGAACAGCTCGGGTCTCATTTATAGGAGGCTGCGGCAACACCCGGCTCGTGATTGCCTTGTGCAGGCGGAATTGCTCTTCCAGCGACAGGGACAGTGGCCAGGGAGCGCAGGACCCCGTGCGCAGGGACAGGATGGGTGTCACAGCAGCACCGCGAAGCTGAGCTTGTCCTCACCGCGTACCCTAAGCATCCGAACCAACACAGATGCTCTTAAAAAACTTCAAAACAATCAAATAATTGAAGTGTCACCACCTAAGTGCATTATTACTAGTGTATAATTAATTACTACACAACCAATGACTCCCACAGAATGATTAATTCAAAATTCAAATACGGATGCTGCGGTGGAGTAGCGCAACGCCAGGCTCCACCAAAAGACGTGATTGTGCCTGCGATGGGGCTCGAGACACACCAACACGTACCAGCACCTTGGGGTGCCGCACTCGGGGCACCCAGCTCACCCTGCCAGGCTGAGGGTCTCTGAGGCCGCCATCGCTCGTCCTGCAGCGGGGGCTAATTAAGAAACAGGGGGACGTACCCCCTCCACATCCCCCTGCAACGCCTGGGCAGGAGAATAATATTGTTACGGGCTTCAGTCTGGGGGGCTGGCTGGAGGGGTCTGTGCTCCCCACAGCTACAGATGGTTTTTAGCCAGTGCCACATCACACAAGAAGGGCTGCGGATTTCATGGTGATGGATCCCGGAGATCTGGGCTGTGATGGTGAGGCGCCACGTGGGATGGAAGGGAAAGAGGAGACCAAAAAGATAGGAATGAAAATCAGGAGATCTTTAAGTAAAGCTTATCAGGTGGCCAGGAAAGCCCCAGCTCAGCGATTAAGAGAAGTTTGGCTAAAAGCGCTTCCCGCTGGTAAAGCAAAAGCAAAAATTAGCTATAAAAAGCAATACATAACGAATGAGAAAAGGAGGGTGAAGGGGTCTGGCAGGAATGAAAGGGTAGAAAGTGCCGTAAAGTGATGAAAGAACACAAGAGGAAAACCCCATAGCTGGCAGGTCCTGGGGCGTGAGACTGGAAATAAGAGAAAAGTAACCAGCCAGAGTGTGGTTTTACACAGAAGAGCAATAAAGCACGTAAGGAAGCGGCGGGGCTCTGGCCGGCTCCCCAGGGAGCTGACCCTGGCTGGCGGCTGGTACCAAATCCCCCGACGCGAGGGTGATGGCCGGCCGGGGACGTGCCGAGCGGCCAGAACGCGGCTGGGTTGGGGCATCGCGGGGCTGTCACTCAGCAGTAAAACCGAAAGCGGGGCTGTTATCAGGCAGCCTGACGGTGGCGATGATGAGGCCAGCATGGAGGGGTGGCATCGGCCATGCTGGGACATGCCAGTGGGCGAGTTGCTGGAGGAGTTGGTCTGGGAGGGGGAGACAGGGCTCAGAGAAGTCCCCAGCACCCAGGGAAGCACGGACGAATATAGGGGGGACACCCAGTGTCGGGGGTCCTGTCCCTCTGGCCCGGGGGGGCTGCACTGGGCCCACGTGGCTGGAGAGGATGCTCATAAATCAGGGAGGGTCTGAGCACCCTAATCCCCAGGGGATTTGGGCTGTCGGCGAGCCCCGTTACACCCCGCGTTGTGCAATGAGCCTGAGCAATGCTGCTGGTCTGTTCACCGATAATGGGATTTAAAATGTCTTAAAGGCAACTATGAAACACGTCGGCAAAGTCCCAGCCTGCAGCGGCTTTTCCATGGGCTCAGCCAGGGCAGAAGCACCTGGACCAAGCCCCCTGCCCCGGGCTGGACCCCAGTCCCAGGACAGAGCCAGCACCCTGCCTTGGACAACACTCCCCCCTCTCCAGGTCCGGATGGGACCCGGTGGCCTGTCCTGGGTGGGATAGCTCCCAGCATCCTTGGACAGAGCCTTGTCCTGGGCCAGACTGGATGCTCCCCCTGCCCCAGTCCCAGACTGGACCCAGCATCCAGGACCAGCGGAGGACAGGACCCAGCACCGTGCCCTGCGCCAGACCGCAGCATCCCGGTCCCCAAGCTTTGTCCCAGGCCCGCACTCACTCTGCCAAGGTGGTCGCGCCGTTGATGCCGAAGGCTACGGGGATGGCGAGCAAGGAGGGGGCGAGTGCGCCCGGCACGGCGGGGAGCTGCATCCCCGGCTTGGCTGCCGGAGCCCACGGACTTTGGCCCCGCTGCCGGCAAACAGGCAGCGCCCTTAAAGCGCCCGATCCGCCCGGGAGGAAGGCCAGGGGGTCCTGAGGGGGGGGAAGCAGGCAGCAGCTAAACACATGTGTCTCCGTACGAGGGTCCGTGCTGGTCTCTGCGCTCGAGGGCTGCCTTGAGAAACGGTGCTGAGGGCTGCGGGGGAAGGATAAAAGCACTCCAGAAGAGGCTTTGAAAGCTTGGGGACTGGGTGTTTTTTCTTTTCCAATTCATTCTGGAAACCTTAAGTACTTAAAAGAACCAGGAAGACACACCTCTTCAGATCTGTAAGAGGAAAAGAGAAGGAGCGCAGCACATGAAAGCCAACACTTCATCCCCACCTTTAATAATGAATTGAACTGAGCAGAGAGCAGGAGTTTCAAGGTCTCTGCATCCAGCTGGGAGCCCAGCATTCCCCCGACCTCCTCCTCTCATGCTCTCTGCTCAAAACACAGGCGTTTATCTCTCCCCCAGCCTGGGGAGAGACCTGCCTCAGTGATCCAGAGCTGGGACGGCACTTAGAAACTTCCACGGTACTTAGCAGACACCCCCCCCAATGCAGCCACTCAACCTTTCCCCCCTCCTCACAAAACCTTCACAAACATGCCACTGTGTCACGTCACTCTTTTGCCCTCTTGCTTCAGAGTCCGGGAGCTGAATCGGCCGCCCTGCACTTTGCCCTGGGCTTGTTCATCGTTCCTCCGTGCGGGAGGAACTCAGAACACACCCCATGTGCCTTGTCAGCACCAAGGTGGCTTGTCACTGATGAGGAAAGGCTCGTTAGGCAGTGCTCATTCAGCCTACAGCGAAGGGAGCGCACCTGAGAGCAAGGGAGGTTGAGATGTAATGAGATGGGGCTTTGCAACAAGAAACCACCCACCAGCCCCGTTTGTACAGGGAGATGTACAAAAAGCAGCATGACACCCTGTATAAAAAAAAAAAAAAAAAAAGAGGGGGGTGAAACCAGATAATTTGGGATGATAACACAATAACCTTCAGATCTTCCCAAACACCAAACCCTCTACAAGCGTCGCTCGTCTCCCAGCTCTTGCAACAGCTGCTCGGGGCAAACGAGCACCAACACCTTTGCCTCTCCCCGGGCGGGTGATTTCACGATATATCCTCGTGCCACGCTCACCACAGACTTGTGCTCAGCCACCGCGTGTTCACGCCAGCTGGCCCAGCGTTTGCATGGCCGGCACCGGGAACTTACACTTTGATCTAGAAGAGCCCAACTTTGGTGACCTTCTGGGCATGCCGCAGCAGCCGCCTGTTTGATTCGGTTTCTGAAGACTAAATCCCCACTTTGTAGCTAATGATGGCAAGAAGGAGGACTGCGCTAAGTGGCTCGCCAGGTTTCTGCAGAACTGACCCCTGCCTGCTGCTCCCAGCAGCAGGGCACAGGGAATAGTGCGTGACTTACAACGTTAAAAAAAAAAACCAAAACAGAGCAGAGCAAAAGCACCTATTGAGGAACAGTTATCAAGAGAAGGGGCTCAGGAAGACCGAGGCCACTGTGTTGAAATAAAGGAATAAAACTTTTGCCAACATGACATCAGTGAAGTACTCGGGGATTGCTGTAGTATCAGATTAGCTTTAAAGACCGGATCAGCAATAGTGGAAAGCCTGCCCACTCACCCTGCTGACAGGTCACTGTCAGTGCTGAAAGGATGTTGTACTACATACACTTGGAACAAAAAGTGATTCTGAAAATGCCTCCACCCTCCAGCAGCCTCCCCACAAACCTCTCCTTCTATAAAAAAACCCAGCAGCGACACGGGCAGCCCAGCTTCAGCCCCATGGTGCTCCAGTCTCTGGCGATTCAGGAAAACCAGCTCAGCAGCTCCAGCTCGTGCCAGCCCAGAGCCAAGACCCAGCAGCGCTGCCACAACAGGGAGAAACTGAAGGGATGGGTGTCTTAACTTACCAGGAATGCGCAGTTGTCACAGCGACCTTAATCATTTGAGCAAAAACTTGGCCCTACTGAACACCTGCCAGATTTCTTATCTTTATTTCCCAATCTTCCACGATTACTGCCCATGCTGATCAGCCGTGTACAAGCTGTAGCAAGTGTACGCAATGTGCCGGCACACCATGCGCAGCAGCAAGCCAGCTCTGTGCCTTCACAAGGTGCTCATGCATTTTGATTTTTCTCAAAATGAAACCCTACTGAATTTACTGTTTCAAATGTTTTTATTGAAAGCCAAGTCCTTGACTCGATGTTGTTAAGAAAAGTTAACAAAAGACAATCACACGCCAAGTATTCGGACTGAGGGAAAACAAATGCAAAAGAAACCAAACCAACCAACCTCACTTTGTTTTCCCTAAGATGCTCAGAAGGAAAGAGATCTAGAGCAGTCTCTCAGCCTACAAAAACCCACAGTAAGACCACTCTTTCAAAAAATTCAGTGATTAAAAACTAAGGAACAAATGAGTTTAATTTTATTTACAGACTGAATGAAGAAAATTTGTATTTATGGAGGGGTTTCTTATGACAACAAAATCCAAATGGCCTTTGATAAGCTGTGCTCAAAGGCTTGGTTCTTCATCATCCAACTCCACAGAAAGTGTTAGCAAGTCTTGTTTTGCTAGGAAGCTGGGGTGAACTTAGTGTTCAAGAAACCAAGAGGCTGATGCCTCTCAAGTTGAATGAACTTGCCCTGCACCCCTCAACCCTTGCAGCCATGCTCCACACCAATCCACGCCTTGCCTTCCACAGGGCAGAGGTAAAACAACTAGGCACTGGTTTTGCAATGTCAGTTGAAGGTCAGACTACACTTCAGGCTACATGACAGCCTCAGAACCCAGTTCTTCAAGGAACAATAGCCTGACGGAACAATAGCCCCAAAAGCTGGGTCGGAGACAGTCCCTTATTCGCAATTAAAAAAAAAAAACAACCCCAAACCCCCCAACATCCCCCCCCCCCCCCCGCCCAAGAGCAGCCCAAGCTGCGTATCTGAACAGAGGATCTGCTGTTAGGCAAAAAATGCATTCCTTGTAACATGGCACTGAGCTGAACACGAATGGAGTCCCTGAACTAGTCTTATTGGTATCTTTGGTGCTACCCTTCCCCTGTCAGCAGGGCACCGTGTAAAGATCTCCGTTCTCACCTGCTCTGTTCTCCTCTCTGAAAACCACCCAGGCCTTGTTACGACACAGTTGTCATGACACTCAAGTGTGCAGTGAGTGGGCTTGCAGGCCTTTCTTCTGGGTGAAAAATGGTATTGTGACTTCAATAAGTTTTACAATATTAGCAAATAAGAGAATGATAATGCAGTTTCATAACATTTCACAGTAAAATTACAACTGTTTTGAAAATACATTGTCCCAAGAATATTCTCAGTAGTAAGGTCGTCGTGGATTGTTCTGTGGGAAATAAGAGAAAATGAATCAAAATTGCTGTCTTCACAGAACAATGAGCATCTGAGCTTAATTATCTGAAAAAGCCACTGAAAAGTGACATTTCTGACAGTGAAACCTGAGGTTTGCCCATCAAAAATTACAAACGTAGCTTTCTAGGTGTGCTGGCATACTGAACGTAAGAGGCAAATGCAAACTTACAAGCCTTTTGCAACCAGGAAAACAATTATTCAAAATAAACCATGGATTCATGGACAAGCCATCCGCTTCCTTTCTGCACAGCATTTATACTGGTATGCAGCAGACAAAACTAAAACCACGGGCTTTTGTATTAAAAAAAAAAAAAAAATCACAGCAAGGAAAACTGCACATCCACGGATGTTTCGGTAGCGATAATTTGATTCAGCATGAGAACAGAATCAAAGAGAAACTTTCACAGCACTTGCTCTCTTGGCTAAGCACTAGAAACACTCCCACCCTTACAAGATACGCATAGAAGCCTCAATGGATTTGTCACTATCTCTGCTCTGGTTTCAGGACGACCTTACCAATGGATTTGGTCGGAAGCGGTAGGCGAGCATCATTCGCTTACGGAATGCCTCGTACTCATCATCCTCCTTGGTTAGCTCGGCGGGACGATCAATGCCAAAACCAGCTCCATCCACAGCAGTAGTTCCCCTATTTGGAAAGAGGAAACAAAGCCTCCAAGGTAAGCAGATGTGACAGATCACCTTCCTCTTCACCAGAAATACCTGCTGCCTCTTGTCGTCAGAGCACAGAGAACAAGCATCAGGGAGCACTGGGCATCATCACACAGAGTGCGCTGCATCAAGACAGACAGCTAATACTGAGCAGCTTATTGCATTTGCCACATTTCTACATTGCCCTTCCAAATCAATGACGCTTGCTATTGTTAGATGGAAGCAGTAGTGTCAACATATATTTGCTTAACCTTTTACAGCTGGAACAGAAATACCATCTACGCTTTGGACGCCTCCCTACTGAATGGTTCTCTGACTGGCAGACTAACCTTTGGCAACCGAATGCGTCAATTTGTACCTCGCTGACTGGAGGTACGCAGAACTGTTAAACAACGTGCCTGCCTCCCATTCCGTCACTCCAGAACAGTCCAAAACCAGAAGCAATTCCTCTCCATCTGCTGTAGCACCTTCTTATCCATTCTAAGAACATCAGAGATGGTGGAGCCTAAGCAAATCACAACCCTTGTTCAACCCTGTCAGGGATAGAAACTGCCTGCCTTCTGTTGTTTGTAAGCTTTGCTGTTCTGATTACAGCGATCTTTTATCACAGGACTTCTCTGAACCAATAAGCATGTTGCCAGAGAGATCTTGCAAAAGTGGAGCAGAAGTGCTTTGTAGAGATACTTTCTATTGTGCAGTAAACAAACAACTGGTATTTCTGAAAGGATTTAATGCTAAAAAACAATTCGGAGTATTTCCTATCCCCAATATTTGGTTCTGAAGTTCAGCATATGTTACCAACAGATGATCCACCTAAAAAGAGATGCTCATCTATTTTTGGATAGAACTCTCATAAAGCTTTATTATATACAAAGCGTGAACAAATCAGAAAACTTCTGTGCAAAAGAGTGACGTCAAGACAGTTGCATGATCACACACAAAGCTCTCTGATCTGGACTGAAACATCTTTCAAACACAGGTCTAGCAGTAGCAAATATTGGTAATCTCCTTTCACCCACAGTACACCAGGGACTAGCTAGCAGGCACCAATGGCGCTTCAGATGCAAAAGGCATGTTCTTTAATACTTAAATAAATTTATGACTTTGAAGACATGACTTAATCCTCACATGCCCTGGGAGAGGTGAGGTGCAGACAAGTATTATCTTCATTTTATACATGGGGAAACTGGCGAGAAGGCACCTCTCAGAAGAACGCACTATGCAAATTGAGATTAGAAACAACATACTCTTGACTCAGATCATACCTCCTGCCCGACGTAAAGTAACAAACCCACGCCTTGGGGGAAGGGAGCCCCAAAGAAATCAGAAATTATTTTTCTCCTTTGCTGCAAGGATTTCATATTCTGTTCAAGTGATGAATTACAGTCACATTCATTGCAGCTGCTTCCAGTAGGCTAGCAGCATCAATTATCAGCCCAAGAGGAAAGGACTAAATCAATAGTAGAACAACTCTGCTTACTTGCTGACTGGGTTTTTAATCCCCTGTCCATCCGAGCCAAGTCCCTCGCCTTCCTTCCAGCCCATTTTCATTAGCATTTGATAACCTATGTTTTCCACAGTCAGTTTGAACTCTTTGTATTCGGAATAATCTGGCTCACGTCCTTCCTGCAGAGACACAAAAGGTAGTGTTGGTTATTTTTTATATGCACCTATCTTTGTGGGTCAGAGAAGGGGAAAACCAGCTTCAGCTACTCAAACTTAGGATGGTTCTGGCAAACAATTAATAACTAGCATGATTTCTTGGGATTCCAGTTCTGAACCACCACAGAGAAGAAAATAGGTAAATGGTGAAGCACTGCACAGCCCTATAACATAATCTGCCAGAAGCAGGGAATGCTACTGTGAGATTAAGCTGAGAAATATTTAGCTCCTGAATTTAAAGTTGCTCACTGGATCAAGCTTCAGATACAGTTCTTATTTAAGCCAGGATCTCCAGGGAACGTCAGACCCCATGCTGATCACATGAAAACATTATGAGGGATGCGCCAGCATCAAGAAGTTCTACAGTTTAGGGAGAATTGGCAGGTATTGAAGTGCTTTGCATAAGCTTTTTGTAGGCTTTATATTTTCACTTTACTGCAATCATCTGGATAAAAATTCAAATTTCCTTGCTTGGCATCAGCAACCACTTATCCAAAACAGGAACAGCAGACAAATAGTGGGTAGCCCGAGAGGCTTGTCTGTAATTTCAGCTAACCCCCAAATACTGTCCCAATAGTCTGCTCTCTAATTTGCTACAGCCATTTCTCTGCATAGAGCAAAAAACTAACCCCTTGTTTCCTCCAGAAGTAACAGAGCTCCCAGTGTAAGGGCAGAAGTACCTCAAGGCTGCCAGGTAGCTAACTGCTGTGAAAAAGGGCTAAGCATGCTTAAGATCTTTCCCTCACTGCTACGGGACAAGTCTGAAGCATTGCCACCGCCTCATGAAGTCTCTGCTACTTCACCTTCAATGCCTTGAATGTCTCCATGAATTTCTCCAGCTCATCAGGTGGAAGAAAGTCTCCGATGAAATGCTTCCCTCTGCCCATCTGGGTCAGCTGCTCAGCCCACTCTGCCCAAGACACAGATGAGAGAAAACAGCAATAACACAGTGTTCTTTGACTTGGAATTTCAGAGGGTTTGTGAAGCATAAAGCCTCACAGCAACAGACGGTTATTATCTCCACTCAACAGGCAGGGAAGCTACAGCACAGACCAGTGAAAAGTGACCCTGCAACTCTCATGCCAACAACGACATCTCAGACATCTCCCTCTGGAGGCCTTTGTACAACAGCAGAGCGAGCAAGATGTTTGCATGGCAGCTCCCTACACACCTCGTGTCTTGTCCATCTCCATGCGTCGAAGCTGGTGCTCCCATGTTCCCAGCTCACTGTCCACCTCTTCGTCACTGTCATAGCCATGTTGGTGTTGCTGAATTGCCTTTTCCCACATCATCTGCATCTCCTGCATGGCTCGCTTGTGCTTCATGATCATATCATACATCTGCTGCATCTAGAGGAAGAGATGCAACAGTGCACTCAGTAAGACAACCTGTTCACAGGCAGCAGAGTCTGCCACAGAGGCACGCAGAGCTCTGCTGCAGAGCCCGCACCCGCCCCAGCTGCCATACAGAATACAGGTTATGACAACTACAAATCCCAACAGGCAGTGCTGTTGCTTGATCTGATCCGCTCGCTTCTCAGATCAAACAGGAGCATTATGTGCTGGTTCCTCCGACAGTGGCACCTTGATATTAACACTGAGGACTGCTGCCATCTGATCATTCCCACAGTTTAAACATCACCCTCATGTTCTGGCAAAAGCCAGTTCTGCTCTCACTCCCCCAAAGCTCGCAAGCATCCACTCACCTTCTCCCCACTGCTGAAGCAATACGTAACCAGCTGCAGATGTGACACAACAGACCTTATAGATTTTGGGTTTTAGTTTGGTAGGACAGCAATTGGCTGGCTTAATTCATATTCCCCAAAGTCCTCTAATATTTCTGCTGACTGCAGCACCACATGATTCTTTGGCATTCAGCACAAATCCTAGAGATTTATTTGTGGGCCACTGGGAAAGTTTCTTTGCTACCTCCACCTTCGTTTTCCCATCTAACCCAGCCATGCTGCAACACAATATGAATTTGGAAATCATTTCAGGGCATTACCTCCTGCTGCTCCTTCAGCTGTTTCTTCTGGGCTTCGGAGAGCTCCGTCACACCCACCAAACCAACTGGTTTCCCTTTTTCATAACCAAGACCCTTGAGGTCCTGAACTGTAATAAGCACATGTTAAAAGACTTTCAAAAAATCTGAGACAGCTGTTGAGACCAGTGAAACCACACCTCAAGATCCCCACATGAAGTTTTATACTCATTTCATGGTTCCAGCATCAAGACACTTAACTGAAGAACAACCACCTGGTAGGACTTCAGAACCACAGGAGCAGGAAAGCCACTGGGTCGCACCTCCTTCACCAGCCAGCTCAGAGTATTCTCTCACCCTGGTCCAAGGCTCTGCCCACATCATGTTAGCAGACTCATAAACTATGTCTCACATCCTCAGAGGTCACAGTGCATGGCAATCTGCTACACCATGCCTTAAAAATCATTCCTCCTTAAGATTAATTCTCCTCATAAGGCTTCCTCCTGAACCCCTGCCATTGCAAGGAGTGATACTTAATTATTCAGAATTGAGTCACGAGCAGATCTGAGCCTGTCAGCATATCGTCCAATCTGTGCACGTAAGTGTCTGCTGATTACTATGTAAACAGCAACTTCATTCAAAATGAAAAGCAAATGACCACATTAGAATAAAGACATGAGCATTATGCTGCTTTTGGAAGTTGCCATTCCCCAAGGAGATTTTAGTTTCTAATCTACAGGCTCAAGAGCCATATTGCTAGGGATGTTGCCCCTGCTTTCAAAGAGGGGGCATTTTAAGTCTCTGCTTGACAATCCCATTGTTGTATCCTCCTTTTTCTGCAGCATCCCCTTTTGGAAGCTCCTCCTTTGGAATGATTTTTGCCATTTTATCAGATAAGCCTTGAAATTAGGTATTAACATTATCTGGACAGGGCACCTACTGATTTAAAATGACCATACAGCACTCTGAATTCAAAGGGCAAGTTAAAGGAAAGAGAGAGGGGGAAAAAAGGAAGCCTATTTGTAATTGCTGCACCATGAAAGAAAGTAACAGAAACACTGCTGGGGCTGCAAAAAAGAGATTTACAATGGAGATTGTCTTGCAAACTTGGTTCATATATATATATAGCAGGGCTGGCAGCTCCCCTCTAAAGCACCTCAGAGCTAAGATCCCAACAGTTAAATATTTAAGGGATTAAAAGAAGACACACAACCACACTTCAAAGCGCGCTGCATTTTTCAATACAAGGAAAAGGATTTCTTCCTAATGACTGCAAAAACCTCCATTTGAATGTAAGTCCAGACTACAGTTAAATGATGCTTCATTAATTATTCATTATCTATTAATTATGAAGCCCGGTAATAATAGGATCATTGTTCATGACACCAAATGTCTACACAGCATGCTAATTAGGCCCCAGGGGTCATCTTCTCCCTTCCTCTTATTCGCACTCAGGGCAATTGATCTGAGCACTCTTATCTCCCCTCCTTTCTCACACACTTTTGGCTGAGCACTCCACAACTGCAAAGTGGCTTCCTTAACTCCAGCCTCCCAAGGAGAACATAAAATAGCGCATCCACCCTCCTTTGCACAGCTACAGCCTCTGCACATTCACACCAGCACTGGGAGTCAACTCTGCAGGAAGAGTTATGTAAAACACTGCAAGAGGTTTTCCAAGAGGAGGGAAGCAAGAAGCCGTGTTCCGCTAGGCTTGGTGCTAGGATACGCACTTTCAGCTCCCAAGAAATAAGAACAAATAGAAAAATAAACCTATCTATTATTGATAAACAGCCCAATTTCTGTCTTGGAGACCACTGAGAATTGGAAACAGTTTTAATGAACACACTACGCCTGTTCCACATAAGGAAGAATCTGGCCCCAAATGTTATGTGAGACTGAGGCACTTCAGCATCAGCCCTAGTCAAAGATTCACCTCCTGTCTCAGGGCATGGGAAAGCTTTCTCTGAATGCACCGAGGAAGACTCTCTGCCCTTCACAGAGGTCAGCAGCTCTTTGGCTTAGTTCTGAATTGCATAAACACTCAGGCTAAGAGCCAGGCATGGCTCTAGAGGCCCTGTGAGCTGGTGGCTTGCCAGCATATATAACCACCTTAAAGGAGAAAGGTGAGACTATAGCATCTTCTTTTACTTCTCAGAAAGCATACACCACTGCTCCTTCTTGTGCTAAAACTACATCTGGTTTGTCTGACTGCTCTGGTACCTTGCAGACTTTATGCTGAGAGATGCTGAAAGTCACTGCAGAAATTTAGCTCTGGGAGATATTTTTGTAGGCTTGGCCCAAAGTATCACGATACAGGCAAAGTTGACAGAAAAAGCTAAGCTCCACCCCAAGTCCACATCTGAAGATAGAAAAGTCTATTAATAAATAAGATCAGTCACTGAATTTGCATAAAAATAGCTAAGGTAAGTTCCTTACATTGGTCTAGCACTAGGCAAACGCTGTGCAAAAGATAAGGAGTTGCTTCTCAGTCTCATGTTCAGCAGGCCTGGGAAAAATACATTTTTTTCCTTGAATGACATCAGCTTTGCCTACAGGGTTAATGGTGCAGTCTATCTGCAGCATTGGCAGAAGACTACCTGAAGGTTTATCCCTTTCCCACATGCCTGAAGAAGAGCTTGTTAGAAGAGAAGTGAATGTCCTTTAAGGACAGCAGGAGAAATCCCAATACAGAAGTGCCTGATTTTTTGCTTCATAGTCTGCAGATCTTACTCAATTAAAACTAATCAGACCTAAACCAATCCAATATTAGGTTTCAGAAAATTCTAACGACAACCTGTAATTTCCCATTAGTCCACAGAGTTCACTAATCACAGTATCTCTGTTCTGTTCAGCTTTTCAGATGTTTTAGTCCCTGCAGTACATATGCAGTTAAGTGTTTTGATATCAGTACATTTAAGAGGAGCCTTGTTTCTGTCCAAAAGGGCTACACTTTCTCCTCTCCATGATACTGATTTATTACTAAGATTAGACAGGAAAAGAATCAGAACAATCCTCCACTAATTCCAAAACAATTGCTAAGGATAAAGGACTAAGACATAGATATTTAGGTACCAAAACATACTGTGCAACTCTAACCTTCCACAGGACCAGGAGTGTAATTTGGAATTCTCTTCACCTGTCAGGTTGAAGATGTTAATTCTGAAAAGGGATTAGTCCATCTGAACCGATAAAAAAAAAAATCCCTCCCCCTGCAGAGCATTAACAGCGCATTAACGGTTGATTTGTTATGCCTGGCAAATTGTTTGCTGTCCTTTTCTTCTACTTGACACAAAGCCCTGCAGAAAGTGAGCATGAACACAACGAGCATGTCCCTGTCTAATTAAGGGGAGGCTAAAAGAGCCAAGGGAGATTTCAGCAGGAAGCATGCTGGAATGAGCACATGGATACCCTTGCAGCCCCCCCATTGCAGCAGGAGGTATTAAGACGGAATCTGATGCTTGTTTTGATAGCGCCTGCCCAGCTTCATCATCGAAGCTTCATTACTGTCTGCAAGAAAAAAAAAATTACTCCAGAGGTAAAAAATCAGGAAAGACTTTTGCATCTGATTTCTGTCTTACTATGAGAAGCAATTCAAGGTCAAATGAATAAGCCACCCAGGTTGGTATCTCATCCTGTATGTACAAGATGTATAGCCAAGACTTCTGTATAGGGCTGTGATCAGAAGACAGAATTACATAGGAACTTCTCTTCATCTACGTTTGAAGTGCTGGATTAGGAGATAAGAGTCCTTCCTTCCTTCCTGACCTCTGCAGAACCAACAGACACCACAGCATATACAGCCAACCCTACATCTTACCCAAGCCTAGCAATCAAAGCTATTAATGGGTTGAGCAATTATCTCCTCTAAAGCCCAGCCAAAGCAGAAGACCCACAGACTTGCTGAAGCAATGAATTGTGCAGGATGACCACGTGTTGAGAATTATCTGTGGTCTCACCCCGCAGCTCAGAAAATTATAGCTTGTTTTCTATTACTTGTCCCACTTCATCTGTTCCGCTATTGCTTTTTGTAAAAGGTCCTTACTGAGGTACTTACTACTCTTCCTATAACTCTAGCCTCATACTATTAATTCTCTCAGTTTGCCAACACCGACTGCCTTATCTTACGTCTTCTCTTTCTCCTTCTCACATCCTTTCCCCATACCACACTAACTGGGCAAGGGATTCAAAGATGCCATCTTAAATGTCTACATTCACCTGTTGTCCTTGACTGACTCAATTTCTGTATGCATCTCTAACTGCCTGCCTAATTACCTATCTGCACATGCACAGATGGGCCACCAGAGTTCAACCTCTGAGAGCTCCCTAGAAGTGCCTCAACTGGAAGAATTATCTTCCAACACTTGAAGAGAGCTGCACCCCCTGGCTGAACTTGGCAGGTGAAGTAACAGGAGCATGAGCCTCAACACTGGATGAGGACTGTGAACCCTGTCTGTAATCAAATGAACTGAAATGGGTATAAATTGGAACTGGAAGTTATACTTGCATCCTCCAGCACTTGGGGAACAGCTATTCCCATTTAGCCTTCTGATCGGTTAGAGTGAGATGGAAGTGCTGCCCAAGGATTTTATCCTACCATGGGGAATAAGCACGGTTCAGCCTTTGATATTTGTTTTCTGACAGACTCTCTTCCTGAAGTGAAATAGCCCTAAATAGTGTAGAGGCTGAGGCTGTAATGAGCTATAGCACAGCAGGGTTTTAGAGATAGCTGGAGAACGATAAGATCCAATCCCTGGTGTCTGTGAGATAAAGTGGTTTATCTGGGTTTCCACACAGGGGAGAGTTAGCTGCTAGACCTAGCTGAAAGATAGGGGGCTGGCAACCAAGAAGATTACAAGAAGAGATAAGACTCGCTGGGTTTTCTGTTTACAAAGCCAGCTGTGCTAAGGCAGAATGCACTCCCCAGAAAAAAACAGTTATTCAACACAATATACAGACCCACTAACCTGAAAGAGGGGAGGGAGAATCCAGCTGTTGGACAAGCTGTGGGAGAGGCAATTCAACCTTGTCCTCCTCTGGCCCCCACCTGCTCTTCCGTTTCTTTTTAGTAGTGCCTGTACCAGTAGCTGTAGTTGTTGTTGCAGCAGTAGTTGCAGCTGTCTGATCAGGTGGAGTTGTAGAGGATGATGGTGAAGGTGAGGGCAAAGGTGAGGGCACAGGCAAGGGCAAAGGCGAGGGCACGGGCAAGGGCAAAGGCAAAGGCGAGGGCACAGGCAAGGGCAAAGGCAAAGGCGAGGGCACAGGCAAGGGCAAAGGCAAAGGTGGTAAGCACAAAGGTGATGGTGATGCCTCAGGACTGGTCTTCCTTTTCAGACTGGACTCTACAGGCAAGGGGGCACACACAGTGCTGGTTTTGGCCTTACGGAACTCCTCCAGTTTCTGCCGGTAATACTTGTAGCCTTTGCTGTTTGGCTCATACAAAAACCTGTAAAGTAAAGGAAAAAAAAAAAAAGGAAAAAAAAAAAAAAGTTGTATGTAACAGTCCTATGCAGGGGTTGGATATAGCACGGTTTGGTTAGGGCTTTTCTCTCCTGCAATGCTCTTGCACAACTAGCCTTCCCACACACTTCCTTGCTCTCCAGCACCATCCTGTGTGTATGTGCATGCAATGCAGGGCTCCATGTGCTCCTGCAAGGTAGGCTGCAAGCCTTTGGGATCAGGAAGCCTATCTGCCATTCATGAGCAAACCACAGCTATTTTTGGTGCCAAATAAACACATGGCACTAAAAAGGATCATGTTACATTTGTGGAAACTGCAAGGTCCTCCCCCAGAATTCACCTGCCTTCCAGAGCATGTTTGGAAAAACTGCAAGGGCTCCACAACATGTCAGGTTTCAGTTCACAGAAGAAAACAAACATTCAGGTCTTACCAAGGGAAAGCCAAACCACTGCCTAAAGAAACTGCTCACAGCCCTCTATTCAAGCTAGAAGCATTGACATTACCAGTCTGCTTAATTACACCATGACTCCTCCTTCTGTTCCCTCATACACAAAAAAACATTGCTTTATTTGCTACCCCTTCCAGAAATAGGCATCTCTGACCTTTTGAGTAAAATAAAACTCCTTAGTCTCTGTGGGAAGAATATGAACAATCCTCAATCTAGCAGCTATGCAAAAAAAAAAAAAAAAAAAAAAGCAACAGTCATGTTTGTTACAAACATGTTATCTTTTTGCACTCACTCCAGTTTAAACACTTCACACAGAAAACCTGTCTATTCCTAACTCCTCTACAATCTTCCCTTTTTAAAGGGCCAGTTTAACACTTGATGTAACCTCTCCTCAGGACAGTGCCTGCTCCCACAAGAAAACATAAGAGATGACAGGCCTTTCCCATCTATCGCTACACAACATGTACAGGCAAACACAAAGAGCTCTCTAACGTATTTTAAAATTCACCAAATGTGGTCTTGCATCCCTCCATTTGAATAACAGCATTAAGGATTGCTTTCAGGACCTAGCCAAGGGCAGGACGGGACTCCCCCCTATGGCAAACCTGATGAAATCCTAACAGAGGAGATAGTGTTTAACTTGACCGTGCCCAGGTGGGATCACAGCGGTCTTTTAAAGTAAATAATGAAGCACCTCAGGTATTAGCACATCTGTCTAATGAAATTCACAACACAAGGGGAGTACCCCAGAGGGCCAGAAGGCAACCAATAAAATGCGAAAATATCAGCAACAAAATAAGGCTTCCTGAGCCCCACTTCACTTCCAGAGAACACACCAAATTGTTCGTAAGAGCAGAAAAATGAAACATGGATGAGACCAAAGGGAGGCATTAAACAGCTGTCAGTGAGCACTGAGGAGAACAATTCACACCTGAAAGGCTGAAAAAGATATTCCAAAGGGGGACCTAATGGTGAAGGAGAGCTACCTGTACATTAGTGAAGATGCTGTGTAAAGAGCAACCCAGGAAATTAATTGGACAGCAGCGGTATGAGTGGTGGATGGGGGCCCACACCAAAGCACAGCTATAGGGAAAAGTATAAAGGTTAGAATTATACTAGCACATTGCAACAGAAAGCAGGTGAGGAGGGGTGGAAGTCGTAAATTAATTTTGGGGAAAGCAAATCGATTTCTCTCTCTCTGTGGCTTGTTTTAAACTGTGAAGTTTGAGAATGTAAAAGTATCAGTGCTATATAAGTGCACTGTCCTTGCAACTTCAGAGTTATCACAAGCCTGTCTATTATTTTCCCTATTTAAAAAAAAAAAAAAAGACCCATCCAAGCTCCACCACATTACACTCAGTAGCAGGTTTCTTCCTTTACCTGAAAGCATGGTTCTCTCGGTTGTTCTGCAAGGCAATAGCTTCCACCTCGGGACCCCCGTCTGCTATGAACCTGGCCAGTTTCTCAGCAGAGTTCTTTGTCTCTTCGTCGTCTGGGGGTGAAACTTTAAGCAGGCTGTCAGTACTGGGCCCAACTCACACAAGCAACAGTCATAGCCTATCTGTTCTAAGAACCCCAAGAGCAGAATAAGGGCAAAAGGTCGAGTTTAATTTTTAGAAGTATTACACATAAACAGTCATAGAGTTTATATCACAAAAACATGATATTGCATAAGGTTGTACAACAACTTTGTAACCAGAGGAGTGCCCATTCACACATCAGCTTCCTCTGTGCCAGGAGCTAGATGAGAGCAGATTAACAGACAAACCAGCTTTTGTCTTCAAAGATGGACACTTGTTTCTCTCTACAGCAGAGGAAGTCTGTTTCTTCCTCGTGTCAGGCACTTTCCCATAGGATTACACCTCAGCACTCACAATTATCTCTACTTAAAGACTTTGCCACCAACGTCCCCAGGAGAAATGGGAAGCCCTTAGAAAAGGTGGCAAACTAATACTGCACTGTAATCCCACTTGTACCTACTGTCACTACACATCTGCTGGCCATTTTAGGAGAGGGTTGTAGGACAGAGGAAATTCTCCATGGAACAGTCCCAATCCTCCTCACTTGGAAGAGGTGGCTACTGCAGCCTTAGTCCAAAGGCACACAGAAGGCTCTGATCATTAATATTTCAAGCATATTTGATGTTTATAAGGAGCCAGGCAAATACGTTATTTAGCCACGACAGCCTTATATGACATTTGCTACCTGCACAGTACCAGTGCCAGTACTCCAGTGTGCTGGCACAGGACCAGGAGGCAGAAGACATGATTATAAGCCATGGACAAGTCATAACCTTTCCTTGCTTCAGTATTCCACACCTGTAAAGCATGGATAATACTGCTTAGCTTCAAAACTGTTGTATCAGTTAGTTGATATTGGTAACAAGCTCTTTCAGCCTACAGTCTATTAAACCATGATTTGTTTGAGCTGTTAACTCATCAGCATGACAGCCAAATTGCATTAAGACTCCTTTCCACAGAAAAGGAAGCTGACACAGAGAGGCTGAGTGATTTGCCAGGGCCACACAGCAGGCCTGAAACAGAGGCTGAACTAGAAGCGATAAATGCCTGGCCCACAGACCACACTTCACTCACTAAATAATTTCTGTCTCAACACAGTTAACCAGATTCCACTGCTCACACCACCTGTCTGTTGGCAGAACATCCACTTCTGCTGTTTTCCTACCCGAAAGCACAGTCCCTTACTTGCAAGGATTTATGTCCCAAGCAGAAAATAAAAGCTTCAGATAAGGAAACGGCAGCAGAAATGGGGATTATGTTCAACCAACAAACAATTTTCATTTACAACAAACCAAATAAGAACACCTGAGAAAAAGCACTTTTCCTAAATGCATTTTCAGGGCTGAAACACTTTCCAGAACACACGCAATGGAGAAACATATTAGTTCACTTTAAGTATTTTGGAGAAATATGAGGAAAATCTCTTTCAAGGGCTCTTTACGTAGAACATGATATAGCATGCTGTGGGCTTGGGGAACAGTCATTTTGGCACAAGAGTTTGATGTCATCATGGTGATGTTTCATCACCATCTCCTTCCATTTTGAAATTTTATTTACAAGCAGCAGATTGACAGCCAAATATCCACTCCAACTGTTTCCAGAACAGACCTAACAAGCAATTACAGAGAGTGAAGAAGTCAAGTTTAACTTATGCAATTCGTATTCTCCAGATCCCAGTCTTAATTACCTTTCTGAGAAGAGGATGCCTGAGAACTTTGATTCTCTTTTCTTATCTCTGCCACTTTCTTTCTGTAGTAAAGGAATTCTCTGCTGTTCTTATCATGCAAAAACCTAGGGTGAAGATGGAGGGGAAAAAAGGACAAAAAATATACATCAGCAACAACTATACAAACATTGATACTCTGGCATATAAACAGCTCAAAACCAAAACCCACAAAATAGATACTCAGAATACACTTAAAATGTGGATTACAAAGTCTTCGGCATGTATAAATACACATAGCTTTAATCTAAGGACTTGCATCCAAATTTTTTGTCACTTGAATGGAAATAAATAACAGTCTCTTCTGATATAGGAAGGAATCCTCTGTCCACAGCCACACAGAGTGTCAATGGCAGAGGAGACAAAACCAGTTGCGAGATCGAGTCCAGTATCCCCGTATGCTAGATGTTGTATAGGCAGCCAAACCTCCCAGGCTGTGTTCCTAATGCTAGCTGATCTGCCTCCTCAGCATCATCACAGTATCACTTTCTGCCTGTTTCCCCAGCTATAAACAATTACTTGTAACAAAGCTCAAATCCACCCAATGATAATTAAACCAAGCGCATCTGCAAGAACCATATACACAAGGCTGCTATTTTCCTCATACAAAGAGACAGCGTTCTGCTTTGAAAGACAAGAGTTATCATCACACTTACGAAAAAGCTGGGTTATCCTTGTAGTCTTCCATAGCGACCTTCTCTAATTCTGGTCCCCCTTCAGCCACGAACCTAGCCAGCTTTTCCACCACTTGTCGGGTCTCCGCATCCTCTGGGGGTAAAACTTTAAGCAGGCTGTCAGTACTGGGGTTCAACTCACACACCAAACAGGCAACAGGTACATTACTTCTAAGAACCACGGCGGCAGACAAAAGTGGAACGGGAAGAAAAAGGATGAAATGGGGGATCCAGTCTTACACAGCTGTACAAATTACAATCCCTAGGTTACTGTCAGCCTCTGCACTCCCCTAGTAGGAAGTTAATATTTTGTCTAGATTTTTTCTACAAGGAAAAGCCTAAGATTTGGATCGTCACAGTTTAGGGTGCAACTTCAACTGCAACATAATTTGCTTTTGACAACTCTACTCCATATGAAACACAGTGGGGAGGAACATGAATTTGGTTTTAACAGCCACATTACTCACTAAAGATTACAGATTCCAGTTCCCCAGACATCGCTCTGTATCCAGCTAGCAGAGGCAGATTGTGTAGCTGGAGCATATAGCTCTTCCTGCTGGCACGTGCCCGTGTCTCAACCCTCACTTGGAGGGAATCCCACCAGCGATAAGAGGAGAGCTCAGTCTCCAAGAAACTGTATTTTGGCTTCTGCACCAAGAAAGGAACCCACTAACACTGACAACAATTACAGAGCTGATGCAGGACACATTCAATGGGAACTAAACACAGGCATTTGTCTAGACAACAATATTTTGGGTAGGGCGCTGAACAAAGAGCACACAGGAGTAGAGGTGTCCACACTGATCTAGACTAGATTCGAACCCACGATCTTTAAATTAAGGGTTCATATTCCATCTTTGCTCTCTGCAGCCAGTGGCTATTTCTCACATTCCTGCAGTGCATTTCACGCTTAAGTTCAGACTTGCTAAGATTATGCTTTTATAAATCCCACCACAAATAGCTAGACATGGTTTTGTACACATAGAATGAAATAAATTATGACACAAAGCTTAGTGTGACTTATTTAGCAACTCCAATCTAATTTTATACTTGATTAATATGCACGCATGAAATTCAGATTATTAAGCAAATCTGCCTTCTGGCTTCCTAGCCAAGGTTATCCAGATAAACTTGGTTATTTAAATGCTGCAATATTCTTCATTGGTTGTCTACCCTACTTAAAGCAGTCAGACCTAGAGGTGAGATTTTTCTAATGAAACTTTGAAAAGAGGCAGGAACTTTGATTTTACCCAATCATAGTTCCATAACCAACATGTAATCTTATTAACACATACAATTTTTCCTCCTACACAGCCACTCCCAAACTGAGGACTTTTCATTTTCTATCATTTAAAAAACTAAAATTCCATTTTAAATACAAGCATTATATCTATATATTTTCTAGACAACTCAGCACTAGGCATAATACCTGTCAATTGTACGAAAGCAGAATTCTTACGATTAGCAAACAATCAAACTCCATTAAGAGCAGAACATATTTCTTCTCTACACATTATTTTCGCAGAGACTTATAGATGGGTCTAGCACTTGTCTTAATAACTCAAGACAAAATAAATCTCCCTAGGCACAAAACAGATCCGGTCTAACTATGGCGAGTCACCCATCTCCCATACCAAGCTCAGGCTGGATCAGTAATAACTAATTCAGCCCTCAGCTTTTCTGATGAAGCTGGCTTTGGAGGAGTCCACCAGCGTTAACTGGTGTCATTTATACTTCATGATGCAAAGTCTGCACACAGGAACTGTGCTAAGACTACCAATTCACAGCATAAGGAAAAAACCCCAACCCTCCACTGGGGAAAAGCGTTGAAGGAATCCTGTTCCCACACTCATCTCCTATCACTAGGGTAAGCAGACCTGCACCCCAAAACAAACAACATAGTACAAGGCGTCATTTACCTTTAATTTCCAACCACTGCTCATAATCTTCCTCCTCATCTTCATCTGGCGACTGAAACACACTGAGGCGGTTAACGACTGGGGTCTGTTTGGAATGGGAGTAGTTCTTCGCTTGGTGCAGCATGCTGCTCAGGACCTGACCGGGGCGCTTCCCAAACAGCATAGGTTTCTTCCCAGCATTTGATGCAGAAGTGTTTGCCGAGTTATTAGTAGAACTTGGGGGAGGTTCTTAGAAAAGAATGAGGGGAAAATAATTCCTGTGTATCCTTACTGTTTTAATCTCAGAAGGTTACAAATAACAACTGAGGCAGTACTACAGCTGCAACAGGCCGTTATTTTCAGAGTAAGTTAAAGACACTGACTGGTAAAAGCTACATAATGAAATGAGAGCTGTGATGATTTTTTACAATGCGAGATTCAAGCTAGAAGAGAGATGCTTGCCTTTACAGCACCTATAGAGGGAAAGAGGGCAAACCACCCCATCGCATCTTGAAGAAAGACTTTAATCCAAATTAAAGGGATCATCATTGCTTTAGAACTTACTCGTACTGGTAACAGCTCATAGCAGGGTTTCTAAAATGAACATACATGGAGGCAGCTCACACAAAGCTGGTATCACCAGGAAAAGGAAGGCCTCCTGTTGCTCAGAAGTCGACCTACCAGAACTTGACTTTTCCTTCTGCAGCTTGAGAAACTGCTGGAGGAAACTGCCATCATTAACAAACTTGTTGGAAACACAGGCTTCATTGTCAGTACTGTCATCTCTGAACAGAAAAAGAAAAGTCGGTGATGGTACTCATCATCCTCCCCAGCCCTCCTCACATGCATTTATTTTGAGAAGAATACAAGACAAATGCCAGTGACTACTAATTTCTCTCATCTAACGTTGAAAACACGTTTTCAAAAGCACAAGAACTATTCAACTTGCTGCTTACAGCATTTACCCACACTCTCCACCTGGCTTGTTTACTACTCCATTGAAACAGGATTTCTGTGCTCTGTTACACTACCCTGCTTCCAAAACCCCCAGGCAAACATTTAACTGGGGAACTGTGCTAACTCTTAGGAGTCACAATTATAAGAAACTTAACAAACAGGAAGCAGAAGGGAAGCGTAGTAACACCCTATTAAAAATACAATTGCTGTTAGCACCTATCTGTTCTCCCTAGTAGCTGAAAAATCTGTCTGGATCAATTAAAGCGCAAGTATCCTATTCTAACCTTTATACAATTATCAATTTCAACTTTCTCAGTATTCACCTCCAAGCGCAAGAGCTTTGTAAAGCTCATCTCTTCAGTTTCATTTGACAAACATGCCCGTTTTCTGCCAGCGAAGCTCCTATCTAAAAGCACCATAATTCACACGTACTCTCCAAACAGAGGTAGCTGTTGTATGCTCAGGGAATTCTGTCTCGCTTGCTGCTCCAGCCTGGCCTCAATTTCTCTCTTTTTCTGCGCTATCAGCTCCTCTTGGTGAAGAATATTCACGTTCGTCTTGGCCGATTTAGACTGCGCGACCCCAAACCACCGGCTCGCTTTCCCTACGGGAAAAGGGGGGGGAATGAAAATTAACGCTGCGGGGTTCGGGGCCTCCCCGAGATCCCGGGGGGGGGGGGGGGAATGATGCCACGGCCCTGCTACGGCCCCCCCCGACGTCTCCGCGGGTGGGTCGGTGCCCACACAGCGGCGGGGAGGCCACCGAGCCCGGTACACTGCAGCCGGCCGGGGAGGGGTATCGGCAGGGCAAAGGTCGGGGAGGAGGGGAGGGGTAGCTCAGCAGGACCAGCCGTACCTGGCGCATCCCTCGGGTTGTCCATTTTGGAGCTCCCGTCCCAGAATGCAGCGCGCCCGGCGGGGCGGGCGGCGCCAGGCTGGTGTGCCGCAAAGGCTTCTGGGAGATGTAGTCCAGAGTTGGAGGGGACACCCCGCCTCCTTCCCCGCGCCTCCCGCGGTACCGAGAGCCGGTCAGGGGGTTGAACCGGCTCGCTGAGGGGCGGGGGGGTGGGGTGTGTGCCGCCGCCGCGCTCCTTCCCCATCCCCCGGACGCGGCCCGGCGGCGGCGGCCGGTAGGACTACAACTCCCATAAGGCGGCGCGCGTCCCGCCATTTCCCATCAGCGCCTGAGGCGGGCAGACGCCTCCCAGTGGCCCGCGCGGGCGGTGGCGGCGGTGGCGGCGGCGGC